ATGTAAGATACTTTTCCTGATCCTGAACCACGCAGTGTTTTCTTGCTGTGTTCTGACTACTTTTTTGTGGTCCAAGTACAGGTTTTGCATGAGCACAATTAAGTGCTCATTCTCATCTTTCTTAAGGTTAACCACAATCTGTTGTGATCCAGACAGTCAAATGCCTTTGGATAGTCAATAAAAACACAGATAGACATTCTACTGGTAATCTCTGCTTTCGGCTAACATCCATCCGATGTTGTCTAAAATGTCCCTTGCGCCATCGCCTCTTCTAAATCCAATCTGGTTCAAACCCGAGAAATCAACTTTCATTTGTGAACATTGTGGAGTTGAATTATCTGGACAGAGTCAAGAAACAAGCAAAAGGCATAGGCAAGAAGGATTGAAATTCTAATTTCAATCAAATTAATCCTAAAATGCTAAAATAGAAATTTAATGAAAAGTGTGAAAAGTGAAAGAATAAACAAACAGGAGCTTTCTTGAGAGCTTAATCAAAACCTTCTTTCAGTGAATTCTAAATGGAGGTGTGCCCTTGAACACTGGTGATGACAGTTCTGGACCTCCGGCACCACCCTGCAGGCGGCGCTGCGGGGGATCACCCGGCCCGGCCGCCGCCATGGTCTTGGCTCCTCCAGCGCCCACCCAACCCGGGATCTCAGTGGCCTCCGGCGTTCTCGCCTTCGATCACCAGCAGCACCAACAGCAGCATCATGAGGAGTATGAGAAGCAGCAGGATGGGCAACATGGGGTGTCCGGGCGGTGGCGGGGTTGGGGAGGAGTGGGGAGGCGCGGGGCAGGGGGCGCGGCGCGAGCGTTGCTAGGAGGCAGGACGCGCGCGTCCCTGGTAGCGGCGGGCCACGTCAGGGTTTGTTTAATCATCGCCCTGGGTATTTATGGCCTGGGCTGGCGGGGGGCCGCTCGGCGGCCGCGAGAGTGGACGAGGCGCGGTGGCTCCCGCCCAGGGCACCTCCCCCCGGCTTCTCGAACCCTGCCCTGCCCGAGGGGGAGGATGGAAACACCTGCGGCGCGCTGACCCCCTTAGGAAGATAACACCCTTCCCGACTTCCCGTCCCGCAGTCCCGCTGACGCCAACCTCTTGGTCCCTAGAGCCCTCCATCTCCCTGAACCCAGTGAGCGGAAAACCGAGCGATGGCCGACAACCTGAGGAGACTAGCCTCCAGCGAAGTTTTACGATCACTGCTGGAGAAGGTCGATTCCTGGCTGAGGAACTACAACGTGAGTCTGGAGGAGGGGGTGGGAATCTCTGGCCCGCCTTCTCTTAGACCCCTCGTTGCCCCTTCTCCCCCAGGCCTGGGCGAGAGGTTTCTTTTTATTATTTCTAAGACCTATTGTTAATATTTTGGTGGGTGTGAAATACCTGTAACAAAACTATCTCAACCATTTTTACACGTGCCATTAGCAACATGTACCGGGTGGAGTAAAAAGTCACGGCTGTGTTTCTAAGTTTTCCGTTTCTCATCACCCTTAAAAAAAACTCTCAACAGCTAAGCAAGGATTTCCCCACCCCCCCACCCCCACTTTCCTTTTTGGGCTTGGTTTTGTAGCTGTTATGCAGAACCCCCTCTGGGGCTAATTGCGACTAACTAACTGGGCTAACACTCCCTAGCTGGGACTGCCACCTCTGACCCAGATCGTGCAGCTAACGCAGCTGTCAAGCTGTGCACTTTTCGATCTGCTGCGCGGGGCGGGGCTGGAGAATAGGCGGAGCACGTTCCAGCCGCGTGGTAACCAAGGACGCCGACAGCCCTAGCAACTGCAATTTGCTTTGCAGCAACCTAGTCTAGTTCAATCTTTTCAATTACTTGTTACTATGCCTAAGCGACGGCACTTAACAACAACATGCCTGAAGCACTTGCTATGGAAGGTCAGGGACTGCAGTCTTCAGTATGGTTTGAGGCTCAATATCAAGAAAACAAAGATTCTCACCTCTGGGCCGATCACAGTGGATGGTGAAAAGATTTGAGATGGTTCACAGTTTTGGTTTGCTTGGCTCCACAGTCAACATTCTTGGCACCAGCAGCTAGGAAATTAAAAGACGTATTGCAATGGGAAAGTCTGCGGTTAGAGACCTCTCTAAATACTGAAGTGCAACGATCGATGTCAGTCTGGAGACTAAGGTGAGCCTTGATACAGGCCATAGTCTTTGCAATCACTTGCTATGCATCAGAGCGCTGGACAATGACTACAGATGATAGGAGAATTGATGCCTTCGAGCTGTGATGTTGGAGAAGAGTATTGAATATACCATGGACTGCTAAGAAAATTGACAGGTTTACCCTGGAGAGGGTGACCCGGGCTGCTTCTTGGGGCTTCATCTGACATACTTTGGACATGTTGCAAGAAGGGACCAGTCCTTGGAGAGGGACGTCATGTGTGGGAGGGTGGAGGGACAGCCCAGGAGAGGAAGACACTTGATGAGATGGATTGAGTCAGTGATGAAAAATGGGTGTAGGCGTGTTGGAGATGGTGAAATTGGTACAGGATAAGGCACAGTTTAGTACTGTTGTACATTGGATCGCTATGAGTTTCAGACGACTCTATAGCACACAACAACAACAACATGCATCTGAAAGCTGGATGATGAATAAGGATGACAAAAGAATAGATAGATGCCTTGGAGTTGTGGTGTTGGAGAAGAGTACTGACTATCCCATGGACTGCCAAGAGAACAAACTATTAGGTTTTGGAGAAAGTGCAACCAGGGTGCTCCATGGCGACCAGGCCAAGATGGCAAAGCTTGTCTTGCATACTTGTATAACTTCCTCTGAAAATGCACTAGAGGACCAGCTATGAATTAGTTCTGACTTGAAGGCACACAACAAAAAGAAGTGACATCTTATCACCCTTAAGAATTCCTAATTATTACTCTGTCTCAGAAGGCTAAGAATATTGTTGTTGTTGTTGTTGTTAGGTGTGGTTGAGTTGAGTAAGACTCATAGTGACCCTACAGACAAAAGATCTGAAACCTGTTCTATCCCACGCCATCCTCACACTTTCTGACTCCAGAAGCCCATTGCAACAGTCACCGTGTCAATCCACCTAGTTGAGAATGTTATTGTTGTTGTTATGTGCCGTCAAGTCGTTTGCGACTCATAGCGACCCTACGCACAACAGCCCTAAACCCTGCTCTATTCTGTGCCAATCGCACTGCGTCCAATACACCCATCCCGATTACCCCAGTCACCGAATCAATCCATCTCATAGAGGGTCTTCCCCTCCTGT